TGGGAGATAGGAACTCCGAGATGAAGTCTGCAACAGCCTGCCCCTTGATGGTCGACCTGGGCATATACTTTAGGTCGAACTGACTCAGCCCATGGCCCATTTGAGCAACTTCCTGAGGCCTCTGGCTTCTGGAGGACCTCCTGGGGGGGTAACTTGTCATTACATTGATCGTGTGGGCATGGAAGTAAGGTCGTAACTTTCTGGACGCGACCAATAGGGCAAAGCTAGTCGCTCCATTTCCGGATACCGACTTTCGGCATCCGATAGACTTTTACTTGCATATATACTGGCCACTGAGCTTTGTCCTCTTCCCGTATAACGTTGCGCTGACCGCGACTGAGACACACAGGTAGACGAGCAGGATTTCCTGTGGAAGAGGTTTGAGAGAAGGTGGCTTCCCCAGATGTTCTTTTATACTCTGGAATGCCTGCTCGCATTCGGAAGTCCATTCGATTTCTTATTGCCTTCAGAACTTGAAGAATGGTAAACAGCGGTCGGTTAGCCTTGATATGAAGCGACTGAGTGCCGCTATTCGCCCGTTCAAACTCATGACCTGCTTTTTGCTGGTCGGGCTCTTCATATCGAGCAGAGCTTGAATCTTTCGGGGTTCACTCTAACCCCGCTGGTTGACCATATACCCCAAGAATTTTCCTGACGATACCCCGATGAACTTTGAGAGGGTTCAGCTTCATTCTGTAGAGTCGGAGTATGTCAAACATTTCTGCAGATGCTTGATGTGTTTCGAGGCGACCTAGGACTTACCAGCATGTCGTCTACATAGACCTCTATGTCCTCCCGATCTGGTCGGAGAACATCCGGTTGACCAACCTCTGATAGGTCGCACCCGCATTCTTGGGCCGAAGGGCATTACCTTGTAGCAGTATAGCCCCCTATCCGTAATGAAGGTCGTATGCTCCTCATCTGGCTTATACATCGGGTTTGATTGTATCCCGAGTATGCATCCATGAAGCTTAACAGCTCGTGCCTCGAGTGGCGTCCAAGCTGGTCAATTCTTGGCAGGGGGAAACTGTCTTCGGGCAAGCTTTGTTCAGATCGCTGAAGTCTAGGCAGGTTCGCCACTTGCCATTTGGCTTCTTGCCAGACCGGTTGGCGACCCAGGTCGGGTAGAGAGCTTCGCGAATAGATCCATTTCGGATAAGGTTCTCCACTTCTGATTTTAGCGCGGCGTACCGCTCTGGATCCATCGCCCTTCTCTTTTGGCGCACCGGCTTAGCTTCACTGCTGACGTTCAGGGAATGGCAGATAACGTCCGAGCTGATCCCGACCATGTCGGCGTGCGACCAGGCGACACATCAATGTTCTCCTTCAAGAAGTTCACCAGCTCGAAAGCGAGCTGGGATTAGACAACTTCCGACTTTAGCATTCGGCTCGCTCTTTCGGATCAACTGATACTTCAGACAGATCCTCAACCGGGCCGCTCGGGGGATTTCCTGAATTCAGGATCTATATTATCCTCTGCTGGACCGGCTGTGGCTCGATCCGGCTGATCGTCATAGCCTGACGGGGAGCGTACCGCGAAATGCCCTTCCCCTTGTCGGCCATTTGGACCGCTTTATGTAGCATTCGGTGATGCACTTTGCGACCCGCTCACCTCCCCGATCCCCTTGGGTGGGGAACTTCATCTTGAGATGATAGATGGAAGTAACTGCCTTGAAGGTTCTCAGTAGAGGTCGCCCTAGGATTCCATTGAAGGCCGATGGGCAGTCTACACCAGGAACTCTGTAACTCTAGTCACCTCGTCGTTTCGCCGAGCGTGACTGGGAGCTGGATTGTTCCGCTGGGGATTAGGTGATCCCCTGTAAAACCGTATAGAGGCATCGAAGCTGGCTTCAGTCGGCCTCGACCAGGTTCATTCTATCGAAAGCTGACTTGAACAATGTTCACAGCGCTCCCGTTGTCCACAGCATCCTACAGACATTATGACATCCATCAGGGGGGTGATTACCAGCGTCCTCGTGCGGATGGTGTAAGCGAGCTGCCTCCTTCTCGCAGAAGGTGATTGGCTCTCCTTCCTGGCTTTCTGAAGTCGCGGCGATGTGCTCATACACTGATCGGTCATGATGCGCTTCCCGATCATCCTGTCCTACGCCCCCCGCGTGTTTCCAGGCAGGTGCGAACCTCCGAAGATCAGGTTCACACTGCTGTACCCGCTGCGATCACGGCGCTTGTTCTTTCGCTCCCCTTGGTTTTCTATTGGGGAGTCGTCAATGTATTCCTTGAAGTGCCCCTTCTTGATAAGTTCTTCAATTGCCTGCTTTAGGGCACGACACTCATCTGTGATGCCCGTTATCCCTAGATACCGACATTATTTCTTGCTGTTCCTGGCCGCTGCAGGAGTTTTCATGGGTTCTGGCTCACCGACAGGCTGGCTTCCTCGGATTTGTCGAGGATCGCAGATATGGACACATTAGCGGGGTGTATTGGGCCCTGTCGCGGTCGTGACGGGGGACAGGAGCATAGGACTTTTTCTGCTCGAGCGGTTTTCTTCCCTTTCGCTGATCGTCATTGTCTCCTTGGCGATCAGCTCGCCTGTTATCTCCCGACCTGACATACTGCTGGAGGTGCCTGATCGCGACGGCGAAGTGCTGCCAGCGATCTCTATTCAGATACTTTTCCGCCAGGTTGTAGATCTGGTGAGGGAAATGTCGTCCTCAGCCTGTTCCTTCCACAGGTCGGTTTGCGGGGCGAACTCCGGCTATTATAAGAGTCGGATGGAATCTTCTGGGGCGTGAGCCACCTTGTTGAGTTCCCTGTGGAAGCGTCAATATAAGACGCAGGGATTCGTCTCTTTCTTGCCTTATGTTTGCTGAGGTAGCTCAGGCATTGAAAATTTCCGATTGCTTGGAAATGCCGCAAGAACGTCGTGCTCATCTAAGGCCACGAACTGATCGAACCCTTGGGAGCGACCTTAGCCACCGTTTGGTGTGAGAAGTCACGTCACAGCCAAACATCGGCATTTCGCGAGGTCCGAAACCTGGTGAGCTCCATCAGGTCGTTGAACTCATACAAATGATCCTGCGGGTCATGGTTTCCATCAAACGGCCGCATGTCTGGCATTCTGAACCCTGGTGGAAGTGGGGCAGCTAGCACTTTAGGGGAAAATGGGGACTAGAGACGACCTGCGTCTGCTCGTTTTGCTGCTCCCTTAATCTGTCCAAAGCTCGCTGCAGCTCTTCAATTGCGTAATGGAGCCAATTGGGGTTGTTTTCACCTGTGCGAGCCCTCCCTTCTCGGTTGCGGTTCAGGACAGTCCGGAGATCGGACTCCTCCTCGCCTCGGCTGCACTTCCGGCCGCGCTCGACACATGCTGACTATGGGCATGTGAAGACGACGGGTTGTGAGGGGCACTTTCACGACCCTCGCGGTGGTACGAACGGCCCCGCGAGGTTGGTAACCTCCCGCATAACAATCGGGATTGCTCTGCTGGTGGTGATCGGGACCACCATGCCCAGCATTTTTGCTTGGGTTTGCTTGCATCGTGGCATGGGACAACTCGGGGTCCACTCTCTCGCCAAGTCTCAGCTTCGCTGATACTCTGCTAGGGGCACCCTTGGTATTCGCCGGCCCTTGGGAACCCGTAGGCTTATTTTTTGCCGCTTGTTTACCCTTGCGTTTACGCGCTGCAGTGCTCGCGGCATGGGCTATCGCCCTTTCCGCGCTTCGCGTGACCTGCAGGCGTTTTTGGCGGTTGTACGGCTCTGGCTGTCGTGGATGACATGCCTTGGTCCGACGGTCCAACCTCTGGTTGACTGTCTGGAGAGTATTATCAAACCTCTCCAGGTAACTCCTGATGGCAGGGTCCAGTTGCGGGGCTGTTAGGGTATTCCCGCAGCATTTTGCGAGATTAGAGGTATGTTGGAAGGGGTGTCCCTCTGGGCCAGGGGGACTCCTTCTGCATGCTGGTTCCCTTGCTCAGGTTCAGATTGGCGGGCCATTGTACTGTCAGACCAGTAGGTCAAAGATTCTCCTGATGAAGGGTAGAACACTAAATCAGCCCTCCTTCTAGCGCCAAACTGTTTGCTGCTTTTTTACACCAACGAATTTTTATGTGTAAAAATCAATTGGCTGTTCGAGGCACGTGGAAATGGAATATATGAAAATAAAATAACTGTAGAGGGAGTTTTTAAGTGGTTCGGACGCTTAGATAGCAAGTCCTACGTCCACTGGTATGCATTGATATTATAAGTGTCAGGTCGCGGTCGCGAGCTGACTTACATCAGACGAAAAGTCAAAGAAAAGTTTACAGAGAGAGAGAGATGATTTGTGTTGCTTTGTGTAAAAATGGCCGAATCCCCTTAATGAAGGGGTCTTCCCTATTTTATACTGAACCGAAGTGTATAATCATCACTAAATCCGTGGTTTGGTGTGATTGTCAGTAATAATCTGGCTTTAGTCCCATTTCCTTTTTCCAAGCTGACATCGCACGATTTGTTGCAGGAGAATGGACGCGTGTGGGCTCCACATCACTTGGCAGGTCTGACTGTGGCGTGCTGCTCTGACGGGAGCAGGTCGCCCTTCACGTGACCTTCCCACGTCAGCCCTTTGTTTCCTTAGGCATAACAGAAATAAATCGTAAAATTATTCAAATTGAAAAAAGGCTGAATAGAAAATAGGTCGGGCTTAATAGAAAAATTAAAAAATGAGTGTCATATGTTACTTAATTTTTCTCTTTGTCCCTATTCCTCTCTTTTTATTTGTTTAATTTTGTTCAAAGTACCCAATAGCACACGTACAAATAGTTTTTACAGTCAAAGTGCGGCAATAATTACCGTGCCAGCTTCTCGTTGACTTTTCGACAAGAAATGAAGAAAACACTTTAGACATTCACGAATTCATGTTTTACAGTGATCTACAATTAGAAAAATGTGGTTACATCTGGATCACGTCTCAGTCCTTATTTTTTGAAACAGTTCAACCACTTTAGTTGCCTTATCATTTTGTAAGAAACCTTGCATAGAATATGTATGTAATTACATCATTTTTACTGTCATTTTGGCCTAGCTACTTCTTTTGAGCACCATTTCAATAGTGTTGTTTGTGGATTATCTGGGGTTTAAACTGGCTGGTCTTTTGAGGTAGGGTCGGCTAAACATTCACCATATTTTCCATTTTTATCTTAATTAAAATTGAAACAAGGGCTTAATAGAAAGCAGGCGGGGCTATTTAGCATCACTCATAATTAATTATTTTTTTCCACATTTCTTCTTTGAATAAAGATAAGTTGACAAACTATCTCACAAACTTTCTCTCATTGAGTTGACAGCCCCTATTAGAACTATCGTAGAATGATTTCGATTAGAGCTAAGAAACGGTTGTTCCTTCATAGGAAACAGTCGTTATGAATAGAGGAATGGTCGTACCTTGGATGAAGAACGATCATTCCATCCTATGGGCATTCTGTTGGAAGAAATGGCCACTCCACCTGATGGAATGGCCATCCTTCCCACGGAACAGCCATTCCTTCCTCATGGAATGGCAATTCCTTATACGATGAATGGTTGTTCATTCATAAAGAACGACATTTATGTTTAGTCAAAGTCATATTCTTCTTGTAGAACGGTCATTCCTTCCTCATAGAATGATCATTCCTTATACAATGAACGGTCATTCATCCCTAAGGAACGACTGTTCATGTCTACTCAAAGTCGTGAGTTGACATGATAATGTCAACTCAGTGCCATGTTGGGTTTGTAAGATTCATTTGTCAACATAATATTAATCTTCTTCTTTACTTAAAAAGCCAACTCTTGGTCATCCTTTCTATTGTTATACACAATGTGTGTACGTTTGGTTTGGGTCCATAAAAGATAACACCATTAATCTATCTTGTAATCCAACAATTACTATATTTGGGTGTGAAGCAATAAAAGATTTCATTAATCGATAATACCAATAGTGATAAATATAGGTAATATAAAGGGTAATTCGATTACCATATGAAACAGTGTTATTTTTTATTACCATTATAATCCATTGTTTATACAAATTTTACCCTTAATTATTAAACATTTTGGATACAAATGTCTTCATATGTCTACTAAATAACAATTAGTCCAAATGTGCGAAATGACTCATGTAACCTCGTAAATTAATTTGTTTGGACAAAAATATCCTTACTATTTACATGAATAATACCCAAAATACCCCTAGTTATCCAAGATGACTGCTGATCGTTGGCCACCACTGTTGGTAGTTGTCAAAATGACGCACAACTAGTTGTATCCATGGCCATCAACGGCCATAGATCTGGCAGTTTTCGGCCTTCGATTTGGCCGAAAATGGCCAAATACGCCAGTCTTGTGCTGTTTCGGTGACTATCGGCGACAGCCGGTGGTGGTGGCTGGCAACCGACAGTCATCTTGTGTGGCTGGAGGTATTTTGTTAAATTTTAAACTTTTGTTGTCGTTGTGTTTTAGCTAAATTCCCAAATGTAGGGGTTAAAAGTAATACTTTAAATAATAATAATAAGTAATATTAAAAAGAAAGGGCAATTTAGTAAAAACATTTTCGATAATATTTTATTCCTCTCACCAAACATATTAGGGCATGTTTGTTTAATTATTTTTGCACTACCCTATTCATATCATATCCAAAATACACATTTGTTTCCCCATTCTGAAAATCATATTCTATTTTATTCAACTATTTTAAACCTCTTAGGTTTGTTAATTTAACTAAACACCCCCCAAAAAAGTTTAGAAATTGACAAAAACACCCCCACTCACCCACATTTGCTAGATTCCAGCCACCACCTCTAGAAGGTGGCCGGAATCTGGTATCATAGTGCACTACCAACTGGATCTAGCCGGTAGTGCATTGAGCTAGCCTTTTCCGACCAGATCTTTGGCTGTAGCTGGACTAGCCAAATCCTACCTCATTATAACCACTAACTCTAAAGGCATCTCTAATAGTGCTCTTTATTTTAAAGAGCATATTTTACATAAATAAATAGTATCTTCATTAATTTCTAGATATAAAAAATAAAATTTGTATTCAAATCTAATAGACTCTTTAAATTATACCTAATAAATAAGAGAAAGATTTAATAGGAGAGAGAATTAATAACAAAATGTATAGAAACTTGTAATTTATTAAATAAAATATGAATAGAGAGTTAAATTTGACTCTTTAGATGTAGAGAGACATACTTTTTAATTTATATTTAAAGAATAACGAGTCTATTGAACTCTTATTTTTATGGACAAACTCTTTATAAAGAGTTTGTGTAATATAAAAAGTCATTTGAAGATGCTCTAACTTTTCAAAAATCCTATCTAAAATAATAAAATAAGCACAACCTTAATTATTTAGACTCATCAATTTAACCAAACATATTAATATACTATTCAAATTAATTTATATCAATAGCAGTCCTATCACTTCATTAATAAAAAATCCCCTAAATCAAACCCTACCTGTGACATTATATATATTTTATTTACATTTTTATCTTAATTAAAAGACCCCGCCCGCCCTGCCCCATATCCACCCACAACACCCCACCACACAAAAACCCAAAATATGTGAAAATAAAAAAAAAAAAAAAAAAAAAAAAGCAAAGTTTTCCCGCCTCTCAAGTCTCACCTCCAGGCCGACTTCATCGCTCATCTGGATCCAGATTCTCCTCCTCCTCATCGTCCTCCTCTACTGCTTCCGCCTCTTCTCGTCAGATGTCGATATCTCAAACAGCCGCGTCAAAAACTCCTCCTTAGCTTCACCTTCCTCCGCCCCTCACCTCTTCCCTTTTTCCCTCTCTCCAGAGTTAGTGCTCTCTCACGTAACACCCTTCTAATAGTCGTTAGATTTACACCATCTTCTAATTTTGCTTCTATTTTCTGCTCTTTTTTTTTTTAACTGTTTTTGTTTTTTTTCTGGGTTTTGTTGTTTCGGCGTTTTTTATATGTTTTTTTAATTCTAAAACACAATCTGATATAAATTTAATGAAATGGGTTTGCATCAATTCTTGAATTTATTTATTTTTCTGTTTATGGACTCAAATGAACGAACTTTTCTCTGTTTTCAAATTTGCTCACTTTTAAATTGAACTCATAAATCTTGAATTAGGTTAATTTAATTACGTACAACCCAGCTGAATCTATTGGAACTCACAAAATGGGTCTCAGGATGATTTTGAGTTGGGTGTTAAAATTTTTCAAGTTGTATACCGTGGCCTTTTTTAGTCTTAGGGTTGAGCCACCTTTACCTTTAACATGGTCCAATCAGTTCTTCAATAAACTCCCAAGATGGGTTGAACATATAGATATTTTTTTTGGTAACTTGGGTGGCCGGGCGGCTTGCATGTACCTTAGCTAATCCCCGGGGTCCATTGAATATTTTTGGTGATTGAAAATGTGATTGTTTGGCGGATCAGTTGGGGTTATTTAGACTGTTGAGGGTAGACATGGGCATCTGATTTGAAACTGTGTACCAGTGTTGTACACCATGTATAATTTGCAAGATATGAATGTGTGATTTTATCTCAGCTTATTCGGGATTATTAGACAGTTGTTTGTAGGTGTGTGTTTTTGGGAAGTGGCGGCCTTGTCAGGAGGTGCAGCGAGATTGCTGCAGTGTTTGTAGATTCAGGGAGTTTCCAGCAGCAGCAGTTTGCAATTTTTTGTGCTTGCCTGGGGATGTTGCAGGTTGTTCTGGGTTGGCTGGTTGTTTTTGCTGTTTCTATAGTGCTTTTGCTGGTTGGAATTGCTGCAGTAGATTTTTGCACTTTTTTGTTTGCAAGGAAGTTTTGGAGGGACAGAGGTTTCTCCAGAGTTGCAGCTTGTCTGCTGCATTTGGTGGAGGTCTGGGAGATTCTTGCAGCCTGTTCGGTGTTGTGTAATATTGGTGGGTCTTAGCAGTTTCTTTTCCTGGAAATGCAGCCACTTTGCTGCATGTTTGCTAGTGGTACAGGGCCCAATGTCTGTAGTTTGTGTGGGGGAATCCCCACAATTCGGGGATTTTTCCCCTTAGTCCAGGGCAGGGACTGGAATTCCCTGTCATCCCTGTAGTGGGGACGGGACGGGATGTGGACGGGGAATGGGACATCTGGCCTCGCCCCGCCCTGTTGCCATCCCTACTTTTATGCAGTGTAAGAACCCAAGTGGTTTAATGTGAGTTAAAGCACCCCATGTAGGACACAGCATGATAAATTCGTTTGATTCAATGCAAGTTTATGTTTCTATGGATTATTGCAGTGAACCAAATGAGCATGCCCCTAGACCATCAAGAATCCATGGTTGGACTAACTAATATAGTAATATGGGGATCTACCAAGCATATCTTGTTACAACAATATGATAGTTATTGTTGTTTCTGTTAAATATTCTGGCTAAAGAAACTGCTTTGTATTAGAATATGTTTATTGATAATTTAGTACTCGTGATTTATTTATCCTTTTCGATTTTCCTGTTTTACAAATAATCTAAGTTTGTGGACCATTGACTACATTTTCCCATATTAGTAAGAGTTTTTATTTGCTTATTTGTTCCATAGCTATAGGTAATGAGAAGTCAAACAAGTTCTGGGAGGCAGAACTACCATCAAATTTTGACAGAAGTAGAATTGAGAAATTTATCCACACCAAGTAAATTACAAACTGAAACTTATGATTTATCAAATAAATTTGAGGACACGATTGGTTAATATCATCTACTACTAATTATACTATGGATTTTACAGTTATGAAGAGAAAAGATGGTCTCCAAAGGGTGAAAGAGAACCAGCTGCAAAACCTGCTGAAACAAACCATGACATTAACAAGTTCCCAGAAGGTGTTCCCAGAAGGTGTCAAAGGTTGTCCTTCAAGAAAACCAAGGGCACTTTCTCGAGGATTTTATTTTTACTAAGCACGTGTCTCAAATAACTCCTCCAGCAATGAAGTCCCGGAGGGTAATGGCAATAGTTGTTTATATGTTTTCCTTTTCTGCTTTAGTTAAAGAAAATGTTGACGTCAATTAGCAGGAAAGATGCTTCATGGTCCATCCCCATATATCACATCTTTTGTCACCCTTTGATATAGATGATATGTTAGGCCTATTTTCCTTTAGTGTCAGCAATGAGAAGGGTCCAAATGTAAGGTCTTGTCAATGTCAACGATAATAAGTTTGGCAACAGTTCTTTAGTGTCATTTGATTTCCACACATATTTACTTTTGCTTGTATCCATGGTTATATGATTTACACTGTTTGTTTATTATTAGGCTTTTGTTATCAATTGCTGGGGTATAGGGATATATTTCAATGGTTCTAGGAGTACCAAAATTTGCAAGAAAGTTGGCATCTTTTAAGGCAAGACATGTCCTTTGGTATGCCCAGTGCACACAAGAATTTGTAAAGGAAATCCTGCCTGAATATTGGTATTCATCAACTAGCTTAAAATAACCATTAAAAAACATTATGATCGCAAACGGACACAGGGCTAGAGGTTTATATTGTATATCGCAATACTGTGATTTTGGCCTAGCCTGGGTTCTTTGGACGAGACTGCGATCTATCCAAGAAGTACAGCAGCATCTGGTTCCATTTCAGGTTATATTACTTGCACTCTAACTAGATGAGACATATGAGTTGATTTGGTGTCGGTATTTGCATTTGTTGAAGGTGTCTTCAAACTTTAAAGAGTTCTTACACTAATCGGACTGCATTCTTATTTCATATTTGGACGGATTTTGGGAACCTTCTTCTATTAAAATGAGCATCATTTTGCTAAACTTATTTTTACTCACTTTGATAACTAAGAATTAGTCACATAATTACTTATAGTATCTCTAAGCTTTAAATTGTATTATATAGTTTTTGTTATATTCCAAAAAGAAAATAGGTGTATGTGTTAAGGGATCTAAGAGAAAGAATTTTACTCTGCGACATTCTTATGCGAGGACAACGTGTTCGCATGTCTATCAGTTCGAAGACTCTCTTTACGAATTTCTTGCTTTTTCTTTTGTGGTTTCATTACATGTATTTTAGGGGTTTGCATATTAAAGACCATATTCCCTATGCAGCGATCGACAGATTTAAACATGGTCATTGCTTCACCTCTGCTATCACCACCATTGACAAAACTCAATACACCAGCAACGAAGACGAATGGAGTATTTGAATTTTACAACTTGCTTTATGTCAGCAATGGGAACAAGGATCATTCTATTGTTCCTCCATCACGTTGGGCCACTTTCGATTGTAAGACAACTACTTGCATCAAACATGCTATGCCTTCTCTACATCAAGTTCTTCAAACACCTTGATATTATAGTAGACACCACTGGAAGCACCATAAAATTTACGAAGTAATTTAGGTTGATAGAAGGGGAAAAAAAATCACCAAGCTTAAATGGAACTAATTGGCGATAAAAGGCACATTTTGTTCACAATATGTAGTACTTCTGATTTTTTCTGTGAATTTTGTGGTTGCAGGAGCAGATTTGTCAGACTCAGGCCATGAAACTAATAGAGATATCCAACTATCAGTTGCAGTAGAAGTCACTAAGTTTACAAACTGAGTGAAAATCGCATTGATATCAACAAGAATTGGTGACTTTGCACAACCTTTTAGATCATAGTAAGTTGAACAATGTTTCAAGATTTCATTTCCAGGTTCTTTGTTTTCCAAAAACAAAGAAAACAGAAAGCAAAATCATCATGTAACATTTTTGCAGCAAACTTTTTGTGAGGCTTTTCAATACCTCTTCAAAACTACAACTACTGAGCAAACTTTTTCTAATGCCATTGGAAAAGTTAAATTTATTCATTTCGATTCTTCTCGTCGATTCATTGCTTGGATTTCTTGGGTTGTATAACATTATACTATACAAAATTATAGATCTGGTAATGGTTTGTGTTGAACAGTGAAAAATTAGTTTCGCCTGTTTGGATTTTTAATAATTTCAAGGGTTCTTAATAATTCTAGGGACAAATCATATTATCTAATAACCATGATCATGTAGGGTTTTCGTGATACATTTCAATTATATTTTGAGTTGAAACTTCAACCAAGTATGTCCCAATGCAATTTAACTAATTCTTGAAATTCTTAGTTATGTTAAAGAAGTTTTATATATTGATCATCTATTAACCATCGCATCAACAATCGAAGATTGATAAAACTATTGATAACATTATTGACTATCTATTTATCATAGTATCGATACTCGAAGATTGATAAAACTATTAATACAAGAACTTGATTATTTTTTATGAGATGAAAATCGACCCCAATCAATGATTCAAGAGATCATTTCACATATTAACAAATTTTTCAACAGGCTCCATTGTGTTTGCCAGTTTCTTAGAAACTTAAAACTTCTGAAAGTGTTAATTGAAAAATTAAGAAATTTATTAATTATTAAAGATAAAATATATAAATATATCTAAAGAATTTGAGTAAAACCTTTGCTAACGGGGCATTTAAATGAAACAAAAATGTCTCTTTCCCCCAAGATTATCTTAAAATTTCCTTTAGATTAAACAGCAAATGACAGATGTTGTAAAAGAAGCAGTCAAAATGTTTTGTTTGCCTCTTGCAGTCTATCAGAAAATCCTGAATTTATAATTGCAGGAATCAGAAATCAGATGTCACTTGAAGTTTAAGTAACAAAAATAACATAAATAATCATCAGAGACATCAACACTTATGATTGAAGGACTCTACATATAAAGATAATGGGAACTTAAAAAATTGAAGAGCAGAGGATCAGATCATAGGGTGTCAAAAAAGATTCACAAATCGCTTCTTACCCGAGGTACCATGTTAAGAGAGAAAAGATTCCGCAGTGTCAATGAGTGAGGCCAAGCAGAGTGAATAATTTCATTCTTCTTATAAACAGATGATTCCAGCATGCCCACATACAACATAGTTTTTATAGTCAAGTGCAGCAGTATTTATCATGTCAGCTTCTTGTTGACTTTTGGACAGGAAATGAAGCAACTAACTTCAAACATTCACGATTATTTTCATGTTTTACAAGTAGAACTACGACTATGGAAAATATGGTTACATCCGGCATCACATTTTTGTGCTTCATTTTGTGAAGAAGTTCAATCACTTTAGTTGCCTCATCATTTTGAAACCTCGCATAAGAGAATTGCATGCAATTACCTCTGGAGCACAACCCCGTTTTTTTCCAAACCTAATAACAACTCATATGCCTTTTGTAGTTTCCCTTCTTCGATCAAGATGGAATATGAATTAGGCTTTTTTGAGGCAAATTGTGAAATATCTCCAAAGCAATTTCGATCCTTCCATTTTTACACAACCCCTCAGTGAGGCTGTCAAAGATTTAAATACAAATATTAAACTTGTAGTTCTCCAAAGTACAAAACAATTGAGCTGCCTCCTGAACACAGCCATTCCTGTATAGCCCGTCCACCAAAATATTATATGTAACTGAATCAGGTGCTACATTATAAACTTTCATCTCATCAAATAGATTCCATGCATCTCCAACTTTATTTGATAGAAAAAGACTGGTTAACAAAGTGCCATATGTAAACACTGTTTGTTAAATTCCCTTTCTAATCATTTCCTTGTAAAGACTCATAGCATTCTCTAATTTCCAAACCTCTTTGGATCATCAATTCCAACAACCAATTAGCCTCCTCTATCTTCCCCTCCTTGCAAAACCCACTTATCATTGTATTATACCATAATAAGTTAGGGTGTAAACCTTGACCGCCATCTCACAAACAAGCCTTTAGCCTCCTCCAAATTTCTCAGAAAACACGAACCATAATTAGAGAGGTATAAACAACCACATCTGGCTTAATTCCCTTACCCTTCATTTCAAAAACAATTTTTTTGCCTTATCTACCCACCATTTTTACAAAGACCGTCGATAATACTACATAAGAAACAATAGCTGGTTTACAATAACACCCCTTCACCATTACCAACCCATTTCTTCATGCAATCTAAGTGCAACACTCGTGTTCCCTGACCGACCACAACCCGTTAATCAAAGTCTCATACTAATCACGTTAGGCCTAACCCCAAACACAGCCATTTTCTTGAAAACTCCGTAGCCTCCAAACTCCTATTGTCTAAACACAAACCTTTAATCAAAGAATTGAAAGTCACACAACTGGTCTTAAACCCAGCCTCAAAATCCTCCAAAAACAACAAAACCATCAGGCTTACAACCCTTACTCTCCATAGAGATTAGCAGCTCCTTGGCATCATTAATCTATGCAGCAAGCAATAACCATCAATCAAAGTGTTATAAGTAACTATGTTTGGTTGCAAACCTCTTTGAATCATTAATTCTAAAATCCATTAGCTTCCCATCCCCCTCCTTGCAAAGCCCACTTATCATTGTATTTACTCAACCATCAGCTGCAACCCCTTTGAATCTTATCCCAAAACCCATTGCTTCTCTATCTTTCCCTCCTTGAAAAGCCACTTATCATTGCAGTAAACGTCACCACATCAGGCTGCAACCTCTTTGAATCATCATTCTAACAATCCATTAGCCTCCTCCACTTCCCCTCCTTGCAAAGTCCACTTATCATGTATATAACGTCACCACTCAGGCTGCAAACCTCTTGAATCATCAATTCTAACAATCCATTAGCTTCCTCCATCTTCCCCTCCTTGCAAAGCCCACTTATCATTGTATATACTCACACAGGCTGCAAACCCTTTGACTCATCATTCTAACAATCCATTAGCTTCCTCCATCTTCCCCTCCTTGCAAAGCCCATTTATCATTGTACTAAACGTCACCACATTGCTGAAAACCTTGATCCATCATCTTCTCGTGTATCCTAATGCATGCTGGTATTACCCGTTCTACACAACCCGTTAATCAAGGTCCCATATGTAATCACGTTAGGCCTAACCCCAAACACAACCGTTTTCTTCAGAAACTCCATAGCCTCCGTACCCCTATTCTCTAAACACAAACCTTTAATCAAAGAATTAAAAGTCACAGCATCTAGTAACCCCGCCTCAAAATCCTCCCCAAACAACAAAACCATCACAAACTCGACCCACATTACAAAAGCAATTAATCAAAATATTCAATAAAGATCTGGCAACAACCCCATTGAATCCACTCGCTTGTAAAGCAAATAAACGTCTTCATAAAACTTTTTCTTAGCCAGTGCTCCTAACAACCGGTTGAATGATGAAATTGGTGGTTTGGGTTGCATATGAATCATGTATCCAAAGAAATATCGTGCTTCATCAAGAGTGACATTACCTTCTTTACAATCATTTTGGAGGAATTTCTCAAGCTGGGTTACTGTAAGTACTAAATCTTGTGGTTTGATTGTAGTAACTTTACCTGGTTTTGTGAATGAAGAAGGAGAAGAAGAAAAACGACGAATCAAGCTTTTGAGCACCATTTCAGTAGCGCCGTTTGTGCCTTGTGGATTATCTGGGGTTCAAACAAGCTTCAAACTGCCTTAGTCTTTTAAGGTAGGGTTTGCTAGACATTCATCTTTCCTCTTTACATATTTTTTATTTACTTTTTTATCTTGATAGAAAAATTCAAAATTAGCGTCAATATGTTTCCTCTTTGTCACTATTCCTCTTTACATATTTTTTATTTACTTTTAATCTTAATTTTCCTCTTTGTCACTATTCCTCTCTTTTTCTTTGGGAGGATGACATGTTTCCACCCAAGGTTTGATAAAATGACACTTTCTTACCAACCTTTATGTTTTGTTCATAAATTTTATTACTATTTGACTTGTAAAGACAAAAACACTATTTATTATTTGACTAAATAATTTTATTATTATTTTATATCAAAGTCAAAAAAGTTAATTTTGTATTTAATATCTCATTTATGAGTGATTGTCTCCTTTTATCTATAAATAAAGGCTTTTCCTTTCTTAGGAGGAGGAGGAACTTTTGTTGTAAAACTTTGCAAACACTTTTGTTTATTTCTCTCACTCTTCTTTTCGATATTTTCTCTACACTTCCATACTTTCTCTACACATCTTCACTTATATTCTTCATTATTAACATGCCCTTAATTATATGTGAAATTTGTCCCTCCAATTTTTTATTAAAAATAATAAGTCAATGAAAATCTATTAGATTTTTGAAATTATTAGTTTATCCTTATAGTTGCTACAATTAAATTGACATTTATATTTAAATCTTGTCAATTTAAACCCAAATAAAATTAAGTATATATATATAAAAGAAATTTTGTCAATTTAAACCCAATAAAAACAGGAAATTCAATACAAAGAAAACAATTTTTCCAGTTTCTTATTCATTTTTTAAAATCCAAGTATTGCGTTCACCCTCTCGCTTTCTATCGCCTTCAAGTTTGTTTTTCCATTGCTTTTTGGATCTTGAAAACCTTCTTCATAGTCTTTTGCTCTTCCACCGAGAAACCTTGAGTTTGATGTATTATTTTCAACCAAGGTTACCATCTTCAATACCTCTGCAACTGCCTTAGGAGGGTAATCTCCATTTAATTTTGCGTCAACGCATTGCTTCACCTTATCTTCACTGAATTTTTTAGTTGCCTGAAACAATCCAGAACTGCATACAAAACAGCTTGATTGAGGCTTTCATCACACGCCAAATAAATGACTAGAAGCAATAAGCAAAATTCACCATCCACTTTCATCACATAACTTAAGCCAAAAAGCACTATATTCGACGTCTATGATACACAGCCTCCGTGAACAAACCTCTAGAACCCAAATGGGAATTCCAACTTTACATAACCAAAGCAACCATAAGAATTATGTGACATAAAAAGCAATATATTACTCAACAATTTACCTTCT